CCAAATGACCAGAAGGAATCAGCTATGTAATTATTAGGGTAGAAATATTCTGATCTGAGGGTAAAATTACTGCAAAGGTCATAAGACAGTAGTGAAGCGCAGGAAGAAGGCCAGTGGACTGATGTACAGTGGGCAAAGAGGAGAATGATATGTGATGACGTCAGAGAGAAAAGCAGAAGCGAGGTGAAGCAGGGCTTTGTAGGCCAGAAGAAGAGGTTAAGATTTTATTGTAAATGCAGTAGGAAGGCATTAGAGTGCTCTAAGTATGAGAGTGGCATGATTTATCACCTTGAAAGGTTATTCTGGCCATTACGTAGATAAAAAAATTGTGAGGGGCCAGAGTAGAAGCATGGTATTGAGTTCAGTAGTACTAGAAAGGCATGAGAAGTCATGGTGGCTTGGACAAAGGTGGTAGTAAGAGACGTGGAAAGCTGGATATGTTTGGGAGGTAAAATAAACAAATCCTGCTGAGTTTTGATTTGGGGAACTAAGAAGATGGTAGCGCAATTTACTGAGATGGACAGGCATGGGCTGAATTGGTTGAGAGTGACAGAAACCAGAGGATTTTGGTGGGGACATGGTAAGTGTGGAACACACAAATGGAAATGTCAAGTAGGCAAACGTGAATCTGGAGGTCTGAGGAAAATCAGATCCAGCCACCGTGTGTGTGTAGACTGTGTCTTTCCAGGGCTGAGCAGCACAGTGTATGTGGCCTGAAGATCATCACTAGCATGGATTTGGGAACCACCGGCCTATAGATGGTATTAAAGCCACAGGAATGAATGAGGCTTCGGCCCACTCAGGGTAATCATTCTTATCTCTTGTACAAAATGAAGCATATGGTGCTGAATTTTCAAAAGTCATCTTCAATTCCTTATCAAGAGCCAATTCCAACACTTTATTCTGAAGCTGTAGTTAAATTATCTTTTGATGATGGAAGAATTGGATTTCAGATCAATGAACTTCCTTTGTGTAGATGTTCTCTTGACGGACAGTAAAATTCAAGACATTCTATCAAATGTGTACAGTATTCAGTACTGACATTTTGCAGATGTCCAATATCAAGATCACCTATTTCATTGATAATTTTTTTAATTAATTAATTTATTTATTTATGGCTGTGTTGGGTCTTCGTTTCTGTGCGAGGGCTTTCTCTAGTTGTGGCAAGCGGGGGCCACTCTTCATCGCGGTGCACAGGCCTCTCACTATCGCGGCCTCTCTTGTTGCAGAGCACAGGCTCCAGACGCACAGGCTCAGTAATTGTGGCTCACGGGCCCAGTTGCTCCGCGGCATGTGGGATCTTCCCAGACCAGGGC